TAATCTCTGTGATTTGATTTCCTAGCCCAGAGGAAATCAGAAGAACCAAATTAGAAGAGTGGTGTTTCAAAGAATATGGCTTGGTATTGGCTCTTCAGAGTTCATTTTTTCCTACCTAAGCATTTTATGCTCTTTGTATATCTAGTTTCAACTGGTATTTTAATTTCACATTTACAAAACTTATTGTTTTTAACACTTGTTCTTCTTCAGAGACATGTATGTTGGATTTTTTTAGCTATTTTCTATTTCTCTTATAATTACTCTAGTGTTGCAGTTGAAAGTTTGAAACTCATTGCTTTTTAGGTGAAGTTTTGTTCTTATAATTTTTCTTTTGATATTCTTTTTTAAAAATTGAGATATATTAGTTTCAGGTGTACAACATAATGATTCAATATTTGTAAATATCATGAAATGATCACCACGATAAATTTAGTTAACATCCATCACCACATGTAGTTACAAATCTTTTTCTTCCTATAACATTCTTAAATGGCACTCTTCTTCCCTCCCCCACGTCCCTTAGCTCAGTTAGGACGTGGAGTAGTGGTAGTCAATGAGTAAATGCCTAGGATAGCCTGCATAATACCTAGTCAACATGGCGTGGTTGAGTTTTTTTCCTATTGATTTCTGCTTCCTGGTTGTGATGGAGCAAATAATGATTCTCTCAAGGACAAAAGGGGGAAAACCAAAAATAGAGCCTAAAAATGATTCAGCATCTTAACTTCCACTTTTGCTTTTGTTGCCCCACACTTCATATTGTCACCCCTATACTACAACTTCACCCCTAAATTTCTCTCTCTCTCTCTCTCTCTCTCTCTCTCTCTCTCACACACACACACACACACACTATAATAATCAGGCTTCTCCAGAGAAACAGAATGAGAGAGAGAGACAGAGGAATAAGGAATTGGCTCTCATGATTATGGAGGCTGACTAGACCCAAGGTCTGAAGGGAGAATTGGTGAGCTGAAGACCCAGAAGAGTTGATGGTGTAGTTCCAGCCTTAATCTGAGAACCAAGAGAATGGTTGGTCTAGCCCTAGTTTGAGAACCAGCAGTCCTGAAATCCAGGAAAAGCTGATGTTTCAGTTCGAGCCCAAAGGAAGGAAAAAGCTGATGTCTGAGTCTGAAGGCAGTCAGGTAGGATGAATTCTCTCTCACACAGGGAAGGATCAGTCTTTCTGCTCTATTCAGTCCTTTAAATGATTGGATGAAGCCCACCCACATTAGGCAGGGAAATCTTCTTTACTTAGTCTACAGATTTTTTTTTGAATTTCATTTTATTTTTTTATACAGCTGGTTCTCATTAGTTATCTGTTTTATACATATTAGTATATATATGTCAATCCCAAACTCCCAATTCATCCAACCACCACCACCACTGCCACTCCCCCCCATTCTCCCCACTTGGTGTCCATATGTTTGCTCTCTATATCTGTGTCTCTATTTCTGCCTTACAAGCCAGTTCATCTGTACCATTTTTCTAGATTCCACATATATGCGTTAATATACGATATTTGTTTTTCTCTTTCTGACATACTTCACTCTATATGACAGTCTCTAGGTCCATCCACGTCTCTACAAATAACTCAGTTTCGTTCCCCTTTATGGTTGAGTAATATTCCATTGTATATATGTACTACAACTTCTTTATTCATTCGTCTGTCGATGGACATTTAGGTTGCATCCATGACCTGCCTGTTGTAAATAGTGCTGCAATGAACATTGGGGTGCAGGTGTCTTTTTGAATTATTGTTTTCTCTGGGTATATGCCCAGTAGTGGGATTGCTGTGTCATATGGTAATTGTATTTTTAGTTTTTTAAGGAACTTCCATACTGTTCTCCATAGGGGCTGTATCAATTTACATTCCTACCAACAGTGCAAAAGGGTTCCCTTTTCTCCACATCCTCTCCAGCATTTGTTGCTAACTGGTGTGAGATGATACCTCATTGTAGTTTTGATTTGCATTTCTCTAATAATTAGTGATGTTGAGCAGCTTTTCACGTGCCTCTTGGCCATCTGTATGTCTTCTTTGGAGAAATGTCTATTTAGGTCTTCTGCCCTTTTTTTTTTTCTTTTTGCGGTACACTGGCGTCTCACTGCTATGGCCTCTCCCGATGCGCAGGCTCAGCAGCCATGGCTCACGGGCCCAGCCGCTCTGCGGCATGTGGGATCTTTCCGGACCAGGGCACGAACCCGTGTCCCCTGCATCGGCAGGCGGACTCTCAACCACTGCGCCACCAGGGAAGCCCTGCCACTGGTAATTTGATAGGGGTTGCATCGGATCTATAGACTGCTTTGGATAATACAGTCATTTTCACAATATTGATTCTTCCAACCCAAGAACATGGTATATCTCTCCATTTGTTTGTGTCATCTTTGATTTCTTTCATCAGTGTCTTATAGTTTTTCTGAGTACAGATCTTTTGCCTCCTTAGGTAGGTTTATTCCTAGGTATTTTATTCTTTTTGTTGCAATGGTGAATGGGATTGTTTCTTTAATTTCTCTTTCTGATCTTTTGTTGTTAGTGTATAGGAATGCAAGAGATTTCTGTGCATTAATTTTGTATCCTGAAACTTTATCAAGTTCATTGATTAGCTCTAGTAGTTTTCTGGTGGCATCTTTAGGATTCTCTATGTTTAGTATCATGTCACCTGCAAACAGTGACAGTTTTACTTCTTCTTTTCCAATTTGTATTCCTTTTATTTCTTTTTCTTCTCCGATTGCCATGGCTAGGACTTCCATAACTATGTTGAATAATAATGGTGAGAATGGGCATCCTTGTCTTGTTCCTGATCTTTGAGGAAATGTTTTCAGTTTTTCACCATCGAGAATGATGTCTGCTGTGGGTTTGTTGTATATGGCCTTTATTATGTTGAGGTAGCTTCCTTCTATGCTCACTTTCTGAAGAGTTTTTGTCATAAATTGGTGTGGAATTTTGTCAAAAGCCTTTTCTGCATCTATTGAGATGGTCATATGGTTTTTATTCTTCAATTTGTTAATATGGTGTATCACACTGATTGATTTGCGTATATTGAAGAATCCTTGTGTCCTTGGGACAGATTTAAATGTTAATCTTATTTTAAAAAATACCTTCACAGAGCTTCCCTGGTGGTGCAGTGGTTGAGAGTCCACCTGCCGATGCAGGGGACACGGGTTCATGCCCCGGTCCGGGAAGATCCCACATGCCGCGGAGCGGCTGGGCTGGTGAGCCGTGGCCACTGAACCTGTGCGTCCGGAGCCTGTGCTCCGCAACAGGAGAGCCTGCAACAGTGAGAGGTCTGTGTACCGCAAAAAAAAAAGGAAAGCAAACCTTCACAGAAACATCCAGAATAAAGTTTGACCAAGTAACTGTGCACCCTGTGACTCAGTCAAGCTGACACACAAAATTAACCATCAAACACCTCCCCCCCCAATTTAAGGCAGGCTTCAATGTCCCCAAGGCTTTCTGTTAGTTTTTATATTGATTTCTTATGTCTATTCTTCTTTCTTTTCTGAAATCTGCAGGGATAATTTTGGTAGAGGAAGCCAGTAGCGCATGCTAATTTTCCATATTGTCAGGAATCTCCTATTCACAATTCCTAAATTATTTATATTATCACCAGTACTTTTTTCCCTTTATCAGAGAAAATTGCTTCTCTTTTTCAAAACTAACTTCTACTGTTTCCATCTCTTTCCCCAGTTACCATTATATTGTCCATTTCACCAACCCATTAGGGAACTGTACTTTGTATGTATGCATGCATATATATATATATGTGTGTATATATATATATATATATATATATATATACACACACACATGTATATATAAGCATGTATTTATTTCTACTCTATCTAGACCAATAAGAATATTCCTCATATAGGCACACCCAAAATGTTCATTGAATGAACAGATAAATGAATGGATAATGAATGGATGAATGAAATTATCATCAAGTACAAATCTTTAATGTAAAAATCATGAAACATTATGCAAATGAGAAAGAAATGCATTTTATGAATGGTGGTAGAAAGTCATATAGTTGAGCTATGAAGAATTATAAAATACTTTCTAGTTTTAAAACACAAGATTAGACAACAGAAATTGCTGGTTCTTGTGATCACTTGTTATGTTTATTATAGTTCCAAGTTATTCCCATTTATTTTATTTCAGTCCGTGTGTGTGTGTGTGTGTTTCTGTTCAATTTTTAACATGGTTCAACTAAATTTGGCTTGTGTCTATATGCTGGATACTAGGAAAGACTCTTAGAGAATTATTCCATGGCTTGTTCAGTCCCTAGGTAATACAAAGATTCATTGTCACCTTAATTGAACAGCCATTCTTCTTTTTTACTTTTTCTTTTTTCTCCCACCTCGTATATTTTCCATCTATTCTTCTTTTTTCTTTTAGTAGGTAAGAGTGGGAGTTCTGAATTATTTTTGGAACATTCAGATCTCCTTGGGGAATTAGCCAGTATGCTTGACTTCCACGAACTCTTATAGTAAAACGATTTGACAGAAGGTAAATTTAACCCCACTTTGGTAGCTTCACTATGTGGTTTCCTCAACAGCAAAGATCACATTTGATATTAGTTTGTTTAGAAAACAATTTTTTTATGAAATTGACAGAACATAAGCAATGAAAGTTAGAATATAAGTGATATTTTTAGTTAGCTTAACCCTGCAGATTTATATAACTCTTGTATTGTTTGTTTTTAAATTCATCTGAGATCCTCTTTTAAATAAATCTAACAGAAGGCTGTCCATCTCTTAACTAAGAAGTTCACTTTTTAGAAAGTTCAGCTCATATTTATTGAGCACCTAGCATATGCCAATGTGCCAGGCACTATTCTAGGACCAGGGGATACAGCTGATATCATAAATTTTCACAGCATAGTCTTGTTATTCATTAATTTCGTTCTGATTTTATTTCTTTGTCCCAATTAAATGTACAAATTAAGAGTAACTTCCACCCTGAATTTTATTGTATTCTAAATTTGATTTTCTTCAATTCATAGCTAAATGTCCAATCCAAAAATGGGCAGAAGACCTAAATAGACATTTCTCCAAAGAAGACGTACAAATGGCCAAGAAGCACATGAAAAGCTGCTCAACATCACTAATTATTAGAGAAATGCAAATCAAAACTACAATGAGATATCACTTCACACCAGTTAGAGTGGGCATCATCAGAAAATCTACAAGCAACAAATGCTGGAGAGGGTGTGGAGAAAAGGGAACCCTCTTGCACTGTTGGTGGGAATGTAAATTGATACAGCCACTATGGAGAACAGTATGGAGGTTCCTTAAAGAACTAAAAATAGAATTACCATATGACCCAGCAATCCCACTACTGGGCATATAACCCGAGAAAACCACAATTCAAAAAGACACATGCACCCCAGTGTTCATTGCAGCACTATTTACAATAGGCAGGTCATGGAAGCAACCTAAATGCCCATCGACAGACGAATGGATAAAGAAGATGTAGTACATATATACAGTGGAATATTACTGAGCCATAAAAAGGATCGAAATTGGGTCATTTGTTGAGACGTGGATGGATCTAGAGACTGTCATACGGAGTGAAGTAAGTCAGAAAGAGAAAAACTAATATCGTATATTAACGCATATATGTGGAACCTAGAAAATGGTACAGATGAACTGGTTTGCAGGGCAGAAATTGAGACACAGATGTAGAGAACAAACATATGGACACTAAGCGGGGGGAAGTGGCGGGGTGGTGGTGGTGGTGGTGGGATGAACGGGCAATTGGTATTGACATGTATACACTGATGTGTATAAAATGGATGACTAGTAAGAACCTGCTTTTTAAAAAAATAAATAAAATTAAATTAGAAAAAGAAAGAATAGACATTAACCCCTCACAGATGTATTTATTCATGAGTTTTATCAGAGGGTTACTTGTTGGTAGTTTATCACAGAGAAAGTGAAAAACCCAGATTAAATATCTTAAAGTATCCCTGATTGCCTTTCCGGAAGGACCCAGTTGCCTTCCCAGCATTCACATTGTTTTAAAACTATTTGGCATGCCTGGGCTTACTTATGTGGTACAGTAAAAATTTTTTTAAAAAAAGCTTTTGCCCGCTCTTGGAAGACAATACTATGCTAAATATAGTACAATGCTTCTCAGCTCATAAAATCTGCTACATAGCACAAACTTGAAGACATCCTCAAAAGAAATATGGCAAGAGACGTACATTGCCTGCATTAGTCAAAACTGCCATTTTCCTTACGGAATTTTCCTGAAGTGGCTGGACATCAGCCTTCCACGTACTGGCTGGGATTAAAGTGATTTTTCTATAAAAGGAGAGGAGGACAAAAGAAAAAGCAAAATGTGGTCCACAATGGAAAATGTGATCCTTAGCCACTGGCATAAAATTACATTGACGATGGGGGAGTAACTTTCTTCCTTCAAAGAACAATGTTTGATATTTGAACTAGACTGGTGATGAAGCTTGTAACTTGGGAGATAAATCAGTTTCAAATTTAGAAAAGAATTTTCAGAAATTGCTTAGCAGGGTACTTTTAGGGGTTAACATATGAATGGAGGTTACATGGTTCCTGGTCTGTCTGTCCCGTGTTTGTTGGACAGAGATAATAAGGCCTGTTCCCCATGGTAGCACGTACAAAGAAATTTAAATTCTGTCATAATTATTCATTCTAAATTCTGTGACATTTCAGTATCGAGGAAATGTTCAAATTGTGTCTAGTTTCTGCCTCCCTTCCCTCTTTATGTTGATTTCTACATCTCCTCCTATTTATCTCTTTTGTGCATCGCATATATTTCACTATGAACTCAATTTTGCGGGTGAAAGGCCACAACTAACGGTTTGCATGCCTTATCTCTGCCTTAGAGAGTGGTAACTCACAAATGAGCCAGCTGCACCTACTGTACATAAAACAGCAACATCACTTTGATCTCTCCCTTAATGTGCTAGGTTTAGATTACTCCTGTGAGCAAAAGGGGTGAAAGGTGGTGGGAAACTATTTTAACTAAGTACTGGGGGCAGTGTTTATTCATGGTGCAGACTTTTAATGGGAAAGATGGAACATGAAAGCTTGTCAAATGTACTGCTCAGAGAGTCTGACAACACAGAATATTTTTATAGATGAAAGGTGAGGAATCTCCACCTTCTCAGTGTAACATAAATTGTGTTGAAAAAAGTAAGACGTAAAAAAGCCAGATAGAAAACTATCTATATTCCCTTATGACTGCATGAAATCCTGCCACAAAACCAGAGGGCTATTTCAGGGTTGCATTTGTCTGGTGCAAAGAGGGACATGGTGAACATTAAAAATATACACTTTGAGAAAGATTCTCATTACATTTATAATTAATGTAATATTGTTTTAGCAAGAACTAGGTATGTTTAGTAAGAACTATTCCAATGTCGTGGCAAGGTAGAAACCCAGAAATATCCAAGGATAATATTCTCCACAATTGGAAGAGTGAATTTATCTTGCCCCTCCAATCAGACTATAAGTCCAATTATGTTTAATTCAGAAATAGCTTGAAATTCTGCCTTTGCCTTTGATGAGACCCTCATCTTTCCTTTCTTGGCTCACCACAGCCTTGCCCTAAAGCAGATTCTCAATCTTTCTTTCTCAAATACTGATGGTACCTAGTATACTGCTGCTGGTTATGGTGGCCTCCTATGAGAGTGTTTCTCAGGTAGAGGGGTGGAAAGTGCAGGAGGTGCATGGGAATCTCTGGAGTAAACTGTGCATTATAAAGAAACTTCCAAGATGGTTTTGACATGCCCACAATTTCCTAACTCATGCCTAGGAGTCATTAGTGTTAAATTATTGAACCCTTTGTAATCTGGCTATAATGCATTTCATTAATTACATCAGCAATTATGAACTCCATATTTTTAGAATCTCACCTTATATATATTATTCTATCTCTTGGGAATATCAAACTCCACCTACCCTATTTTCTCTCTCCCCAGCACATTTCTGTTTCCTTTGAAATTCCAAGCTCGAAATTGGTCCTTGAGTGAAGACTTCTCCATCGGTCCCCCAAAGACTTAGTTGTTCCTGTCCTAGATATTTCCACAGCAACATGATAATGACTCTTAAAATGAATTATTCTATTCTAATGTGTCTGTTAAAATAGCTGTCTTCCCAACTCTACCACCAGATTGTGGGCCAGGATATTTATTCATCTTTTAAGCCCTAACTTTAAATACAGTGGCAGCTACATTACAGGTGATGAATAAATGATTACTTGTACATGTGTGTACTTTTCATTTATTTATTGATAAATTATTTATCTGTGTATATAGATATGGTAACATATACAAAGCTTAAGTGCAGAGGTCAATAATTTTTATATTATATACCTCCATGTAAGTACTACTCAGATGAAGGCATAGAACATTTCCAACGTCCCAAAAGATTCCCTCCTGCCCCTTCCTAGTCAACACCTTCTCTGCACAACCAGTTCTGTTCTAACTTATGCAGTAAATTAATTTTGCTGATCTACAACTACATATGGACTCTATAAATGGAATGAATCACTTAGTATTTACTTTTTTGGAGTCTGACTTCTTTCATTAGACATGTTCTTGAGACTCAACCATGCTGTTACATGTTCATTTTTTTGTATTGTGGTGTAGAATTCCATTGCATAAATATGTCATGAATTTTTTCACTCTCTTCTTCATGAACATATGAACTATTTATAGTTTTTCATTCTTATGAACAAAGTTACTATTAATATTTTTGTACCTATTATTTCATGTGGAAATTTACACTTTTTTTTTTAGTATATACCTAGGCATTAGATTGGTGGGTCATTTGATAGGTACAGGATTAGCTTTATAATATATTATTACTTCCTAAAAATGGCTGGGTCAATTTATACACTCCAAAGTTAAATATAAGAGTCCCAGTTGCTCCATATCCAACAGTTAATATTGTTAGTCATTGATTTTAGCCATTCTGGTGGTAATATAGTGGTGTCTCCTTGTAGATAGAGTTTACATTTATGTCCTTAATGACCAATGATGGTGAGCAAGTTTTTATATACTTATTGGCCATTTGAATATCATCTTTTGTAAACTGCTTCTTCAATTCTTTTGCACATTTTTAGTTGGGTTGTTTGTCTTTTTTCTATTGATTTTTTAGAGTTCTCTATATATCTGGATGCAATATCTGAATGCAATTCCTTTATCAGAGGTATGGCAAATATATTTTCTCAGATGTGGTTTGCCTTTCTTTTTTTTTTTGCGGTATGCGGGCCTCTCACCGCTGTGGCCTCTCCCGTTGCGGAGCACAGGCTCTGGACGCGCAGGCTCAGCGGCCATGGCTCACGGGCGCAGCCGGTCTGCAGCATGTGGGATCTTCCCGGACCGGGGCACGAACCCGTATCCCCTGCATCGGCAGGCGGACTCTCAACCACTGCACCACCAGAGAAGCCCTGTTTGCCTTTCTTTTGATGAACAGAAGTTCTTAACTGAATCAAATTTATTATTTTTCCTTTATCTATTGGTTCTTTTCATGTTCTTTTAAGAAAACTCTATCTCATCCAAGTTCATGAAGATATTGTTTTGTCTTCTTACAGAAATTTGATTGTTTAATTTTCAAATTGAGGTCTAATATCCACCTCAAATTAATTTTTCTGTAAGGTGTGTGGAAAGGTTCAAGGTTTGTTTATATCCCATAGAGATATGCAATTGCTGCAGAACCATTTATTGAAAAGATCATCTTTACTCCCACTAGCTTGTATTGGTAACTTTGTAGTAAATTGGGCAACCATATATGTGTTGGTTTACTTTTGGATTGTCTATTCTAAACCATCGGTAAGTTTGTCTTAATTACTGTATTTTAAAATCTGGTAGAGCAAGTCTTCTAACTTTGAACTTTATTAAGATTATCTTGAATATTCTAGGTCCCTAGTTTTTCATGTAAATTTTAGAATCAAGTTTTCAATTCCCACCTCCCCAACAAAGTTCTAAGTTTCATTGGAATAATATTGAATCAATAGATTTTAATTTGGATAAAAACACTTGAAAATATATAGAACTATTTAGATTTTCT